CTCAGTCACTAGCTGCGTGCTGGCATCTGGCTGGCAGCCAGAGCAGGTCTAGGCCTGCCCTCAGGAATCCACAGGCCAGTGGGAGATTTGGACAATATCCTACAGTCCCACAGATGGATGCATTCAGGTCTACAATCACAAGCCTTCTCTGACCCTCTGCCATTACCCTGCTTTGTTTTTACTTGTGATACTTTTTAAAAAATAGGTCATGCATTAATGTGCTTCAAAAATCAATTCTCTGTGTGTGCCTATGCACATGCATGCCTGTGTGCATGTGTATAGACATACACACTGGCAGGTCTCTCTTACCCCTTCCCCTGCCCACCTTGTTCCTCTTGAGTAATCATTTGTATTAGTTTCTGGCATATCTTTCTAAGGTTTAAAAAAAACCCTACAAATATCTATTATCTATTTTTATCTTCCCCTCCTTATACAAAATGTAGCCTATTCCATACCCTCTCCTGCACTTTGCTTTTTAAAATTTTTATTTATTTAACAGCACATCTTGGAGCTCTCTCTTTATCCAGCCGAGTGACTTCTTCCAGAGCAGAGGGAAGGTCTGTGAGGCTAAAACAAGGGAGGAGGATCTGTTTTAGCTGCGAGGGATCATGGCCTTGATTCTCAGCTCTGTTTCCTTCCATGCCCTGCTTTTCTCTGTGGTAAGGTACATATGGCCTTTATCACATGTGGCCAAGGAGAGGACAAGAATGTCCTTGAGAGCGGATGATTTACTGTGGTTAATAATGAAAGAAAATTGACCTGCAACCTGTTTCCGTGAGTCATGATCTGGTGTCTGGTGGAGGCCCCTCTAGTCTCCACAGTTCTTACTAATCATGTGACAAGTCCTGTCACCTATTACCTTTTCACTGGACACAGTCATGATGCTAAGCGAAGTGCGTGTTTGCAGGGTAACACACACACTGACTGCACTTAGTTCCAGGGTTGCCACATAGTAAATGCTCAATGTGTGGCGGGATGGCTTTGGTTATTTTCACAGGACTGGCCTGGGCTCATACTTGTAAGTGTAGCTAACAATGAAGAGTCTCAGAGAAGTCGATCACTTGGGTTCTAATATCCCCTCTGCCACTTAAAATCCATGTTGGGCAAGGTGCTTACTTTGTGTACTTGACTTCTGTTATTGTAAATGGAGATAATAATACCTGCCTTTTGGTCCTTTGCTGAGAAGGAAATGAGTTAACATTTGTATTGCATTTAAAACAGTGCACAGCAGGTAGTGACATGAATGGATGCCAGCTATTTGTACTAGTCTGTGTAGTAGACTCAGGGGAACTCAATGTCCCTGAAGGCTATGCCACCTCCATTTCAGAACAGTACCCATCATTAGCAGTAGCACTTCACCTTTCCCAAAGAACTCCTTCCTGCAATACCTGGAGCAAAGCGTTGTTTATTTAGTCAAGAATTATAATGCCAACAGACTCACTCACCTTTATGTGTCATTGGCCATGTAAAGTCACATGACCATTCTTAACTACAAAGAAGGCTGGGAAATCAAAAATTTTCCCAATTGTCTCTCCTAGTAGAACAAAAATATGATTACAGGTGTGTTCAGTAAATATTTGCAAGCACACAAATCCATTTACCAATCTAGCCATCACAAGGGGCTCTCCTCTCAGCATTTGTAGGAAGTGACTCATGGAACGTGGCAAAGCAACTGGCCACCAACCTGAAGTGCTGGAAGCAAGCTTGTGAGGGACACAGCTCTAAAGTCTTTTGAATTGTATCTAAATGGGAAACAATTAAACCACCTAGATCAGTGATGGCGAACCTTTTGAGCTCGGTGTGTCAGCATTTTGAAAAACCCTAATTAACTCTGGTGCCGTGTCACATACAGAAATTTTTTTATATTTGCAACCATAGTAAAACAAATACTTATATTTTTGATATTTATTTTATATATTTACATACCATTTAACAAAGAAAAAACAACCAAAAAATGAGTTCGCGTGTCACCTCTGACACGCGTGTTGTAGGTTCGCCATCACTGTCCTAGATCAAAGTTTTGAGACAGGCTCTGGGATCTGGGCCTAGAGCATCCAGAGGAAGGTTGCAGAACTGGTTTCTTCAGGCAGGTTTGTTTACCTGCTTGCCTGCCTATTGAATAATTCCATTGGCTGCCAAGGCCTTCCAGGTCCTTTCCTTCCTTAGACTGGCTTCTTTCTGCAGGTGGCTGGATCTCCTAGGGCCAGCAAGTGCCTACTTTGTGTCAGATGCTGTCCAGGGTGCTAGAAACAATAAACCGTACCTTGGAAATATTTCGAGTTTGGTTCCCAATCACCACTGTAAAGCTAGTTCCTAATGGTGCTGATGGAGAGTCTTGCCTTCAAGTTGTAAGAAAAGTAACAACTGTGAAATGCAGTAAAGTGAAGCACAATATAACAAGGTATACCTGACTGGCCAGTGTTTTCAGTGGTTATGGTGTAGACCAGTGGTTCTCAACCTTCCTAATGCCGTGACCCTTTAATCTTTTAAAAATCCTTATTTTACGTAAAGTTCCTCATGTTGTGGAGACCCCCAATTTCATTGTTATAAATTGAACATAATTAAAGCATAGTGATTAATCACAAAAACAATATATAAATATATATGTGTTTTCCGATGGTCTTAGGCGACCCCTGTGAAAGGGTCGTTTGACCCCTAAAGGGGTCGCGACCCACAGGTTGAGAACCGCTGGTGTAGACTCGTGGACCGAAGTGTCATGGGTTTGATTCTGGGTATGTGCGGGAGGCAACCAATCAATGTGTCTCTCTCTCATGGATGTTCCTCACTCTCTCTCTACTTCTCTCTCCCTTCCTCTCTCTTTCTCTCTCCCCCTTCCCTTCCTTCCTCTTTTACCCCTTCCCCCCTTCCTCCCTCCCTTCCACTCTGTCTGAAAATCAATGGAAAAAATGTCCTCTGGTGAGGATTAAAAAACCAAGGTATACATGTAATATGTAACATTTTTTGGGCACTCACCATGTGCCAGCCATTGCAGGTAGTTGGGGTAACTCATGGAATCCTCTCAAATCTTTGTTAGATCCATTACAGATGTGGGGAGTGAAGGGGAGTCTAAATTTTTAAAAAATCCTTATTTTACATAAAGTTCAATTTTTTTATTATGAATATTTGTTATTTCAGTATAATAGGAGCCTTTTCTTTCTTTTTTTAATAATTTTTTAAAATATTTTTTATTGATTTTTTACAGAGAGGAAGGGAGAGAGATAGCTAGAAACATCGATGAGAGAGAAACATCGATCAGCTGCCTCCTGCACATCTCCCACTGGGAATGTGCCCGCAAACAAGGTACATGCCCTTGACCGGAATCGAACCTGGGACCTTTCAGTCCGCAGGTCGACGCTCTATCCACTGAGCCAAACCGGCTTCGGCAATAGGAGTCTTTTCATTGGTGGCTTATTTTGTTAGCCTGCTTTTTAAAAATAAAAAAAAAACAGCTTCACTTTAAAGAGTAATTTTAAGTTCATAGCAAAATTGAAGGGAAGTTATAGAGATTCCCCATATATCCCCACTAATGCATAGCCTCCCCCATTATTTTTTTAAATCTTTATTGTTTAAAGTATTACATATATCCCCATTTTCCCCCCCATTAACCTCTTCTAGCCTGCCCCCGCCTCCCCCATTATTAACATCCACCACCATAGTGGTACATTTATTACAGTTGATGAACCTGAGTTGACACATCGTTATCGCCTGGAGTTTATAGTTTACATTGCAACTCACTCTTGATGTTGTACCTTCTATAAGTTTGGACAAATGTATATTGACATGTATCCACCATTATGGTATTATACAGAATATTTTCACTGCCCTAAAAATCCTGTGTGCTCCACGTATTCATCCCTCTTCCCCTCAACTCCTGGCAGCCACCAATCTTCTTACTGTGTCCAAAGTTTTATCTTTTCAAGAATATGTAAAGATACACTTTGTAGTTTTTTTAGATTGGCTTCTTTCACTTAGTGATAAACATTTAAGGTTCCACCATGTCATTTCATGGCTTGAAAGCTCATTTCCTTTCTTTGTCGGAATGCACCACAGTTTATCCAATCACCTACTGAATGACATCTTGGTTGCTTCCAAGTTTTGGCAATTACGAATAAAGCTGCTATCAACATCTGTGTGCAGGTTTTTGTGTTGACATAGTATTCAACTCATTTGGGTACATATCAAGGAGCTTGATTGCTGGATCATAGCATGAGTATGTTTAGGCTTGTAAGAAATTGTCAGACTTTCTTTTTTTTAATTATTATTTTTTTTATTTCCATAACAAAATAACTTTATTTTTTTTTTATTTTTTATTGCTTAAAGTATTACAAAGGTATTACATATGTGTCCTTTTTTTTTCTCCGCCCTTACAATCTCCCGGTCTCCCCTACCCCACAGTGTCTTATGTCCATTGGTTATGCTTATATGCATGAATACAAGTCCTTTGGTTGATTTCTTACCCCCCTCCCTCCTGCTCCCCAACCCTCCCCGGCCTTCCCGCTGCAGTTTGACAATCTGTTTGAGGCAGCTCTGCCTATGTATCTATTATTGTTCAAAAGTTTATAATGGTCTCAATTATCCATGAATGCGAAGGCTCACTTTAAAT